CACACCTCAAAGTTTATCACAAATACTCCGCTGTGCGTCGTACTTTTATCTCTTTTCTCGGTGTTTGGAGATGTGGTCAAACGCGATCTTTCGTGTTTGATATATTATTTGCAACATCGTTTAAACAACTCGTTGAAGAGAAAAGCTCTTTATCTTACACTTACCGTTTCATTCATATCAGAGTCTGCTATCGTGGCAGCCTGCTGGCTCGGTGGATCGACTGGAGTACTGTGATCTAAAGGGACAAAAAGTTTTAAAACGGCGCAACCCAACCCCTGTATCACGAGCAAACCTAGTGAATTTAGGATGAATGCTGTTAACTCTAAACGTGATTTGAGCTCTGGGATTTCACCGGCATTTCAGGTAATGCTGAACGTTACCACCGATTTCTTACTGGACGGGACTGAATCAGGTACCTCTCGTACCCCCGATATAATAACCTACGTAGGAAACGTTCTCCTATGACGCTCCACCACCCCACTGCGTCAATCTTGTGCTCTCGCCCATTTTTGCGCAACCAGCAGGCCGGAAACTCTTCATCGATATAAGTGAGTGACAACTTCCCTACCTTTGCCACGCAACATAATACAGAACAGTCTTATTAGCCCATTACGGTTATTTTGGGCAGCCATGTACTCTTGTTATTTTAACGTATTTTTTGTTCATGTAATTTCTAATTTCTAGCTGAGTACAAATAAAGTTGTTGTTGTTGTGCGTGAGTGGGAAACGGACGATGAAAAACCTTGGCCTATTATTTTGCCACGTTATGAGAGACCCACCAGCTGCACAAGCTAATTTTGACGAGACTGACGTTCATAATACAGCTCAGTTTGAATTCTACTCTTGCCCTGAATAAAACATTGAATGGGCCATTTCCGAGTGACCTTTTGCCTCTGTGTCGACACGAGTCTTGGTGCGAAACCATTCATATAAAAATGTGTTCCACCTTCAGATTCATTTTCATGCAAATCAACGTATTTTCATATGAAAGAATTGGCACATGGACTCGTTTTGAAACAGAGGCACAACTGACAAGGTAACTCGCAAATGGCCTCAGTTACAATTTCGAGGCGGAAGGTGTTTCGAATAGTAACTTTAGAACTGATGATCACACGACTTACATTCCTTGGCTGCTTGGCGTTGTTCGATGAATGAGGCTGATCCACGTGGATTGTATGATTCCACTGCTGCCGACACACCATCCTCAGGGGAGAGGAGGTGGGGGCTCTTGGGCGACTGTTGAACCTGGATGAGGGAATAAGAGTGAGTTAAAGTACTAATACAAGCCGGATATCCTAACGACAGCCACTGAACAAACTTCATCGGTTAAATCATTTTTTCATATCTATTGATATCTTAATGCGCGTTTTACTTTGTTATCTCATTGTTTGGCAAATCGCAGTTGTTGGCACCTGGTTGGTTTGCAAAGTTGGGAAAATAAAACCAGAGAGAGACTTTTAGCGGGTAGCAAAAATTCTGTAAGTTTCACCGTAATTATTTGCAAAACATAAAGAAGGCATCAGGTCGAGGATTGGTTTCAACAAAGAACATTTAAACTTCGCTTCGGACAACAACGCCCTAAAGATGTTTGCCCGAAGACCATCCAAATACAATTCCACGGTTAACCCAAAGACTTCCGAAAACTTACTAAGATAGCCCAGAGACCGAAGACTTTCGACGGTTTCCTAACTTGATCCAAAGACTACAAAAGATTTTCTTGAACTTTCTTGAGAGGTTAGCGAGCATTTTCGACATTCTACCTAAGTGGCAGATAATCCAATGTCCCGATCGTACTCATTTACCCTTTGTGCTAAAAAGAACCTAACACAAACGAAAACCCAAGAATAATTTGTTACAAACCGGCGAGAAAGGAAGCTCGATGTTCTGTTCTTCCTGTTGAAGCCACTTAGAATCTGCTTCTGACTCCAGGCGCTGTTGACGCAGTCGTTGATGAAACATTTCTCGTTCTCTCAATTCCAGTTGCGCTCTTTCTTCATCATCACGTCGTTTCAGTTCTTCGTCACTCTGATCGAAAAAAGCAAAAGAATTCAGTGTAAATGAAAAGAATATTATTGTTTTCTATGGAAAATTTGTCATATTAGAAATGCCAAAGTGAAGAGATAGTCTTCCCAAACACTCAAGCAGTTTGAACAGAAGGAAGGGTTAAAAGAGACCCCGTTGATTGTCATTCTACCCTTCTGTCTGTTTGTCTTCCGTTTGTTTGTCTGTCTGTCTGTCTTTCTGTCAGTCTGTTTTTGTTTTCATCAATCAGAGGTGTAATTAAGACTAATGAATCCAAGAGAGTAAGTCGCTAAATGAAGAAGGAAGAAGTTGGTTTGATGCGGAGATAATTCATTTCCATCTGATGCCTGATGTTTTTTCCTCATTCCCACATCTTTATGCTGGAATTTTAAAATCGAGGCTTGATTTTAGGTTTAGATTGCGATGGAACGCGTGAATTAGCGAGTTAACAAGTAAAATAGCCGAAGAAGAAGGGGCGATACTAACTCTTGAAGATTACTTGCCACTCTATCTCAAAATCACAGCATAATTCCTGGAATTTAACTCACCGGTAGGTCAATAGCAGGTTCCAGTGTTTTTGTCGGACTTCCCACAGGACTCGTTGCCGGACTGATCGCTTTATAATTTTTCGGAAGAGTCTGACTACCACTAATAGAATACCGAGACGGTTGCTCCAGCAACGTGTGAACACCGCTGGCCTCGTGGTACGACTTGAAGTTCCTAGGAAGCGTGCGCGAGGGGGAGATGGAAGAATAGGGCGAGCGAGGGGATCTGGGCGACGTCGGGCTTCCAGGGTACTGTCCAGGCAGGGTTGCTCCTGGTAAGTAAAATATAGAAAGGCTGAGTTGGGTCAAATTTAGGAAGCACTCCATTGAGGTTCTTATTCAGTAGTGATGGGTAAGCTCTGCTATCTCGCGGGTGAGGTATTTTCTAGAAGTTGCCATGTTTGTCGAAAATTCCTCATACTACATAGCGAAGTAAATTTTAAACAGACCAACACCAGAAAGGTGATTACAAACCAACAAGAGGCAAAGATAGTTGAGAATGAGAAAGACTTAGCCGACGTACAAACGGTAACGAAAATGATAAAAAAAAAAAAAACAAAAANGATACAACCCATTAGCTTAAACTAATCAAACAGGTTGGTATTAAAGTTAAACTCGACTCATACGGCTGGCAGTCTGTTTTTCTCTCGAAATTCAGCAGGGGATATGAGGTAAGACACCTTGGTCTTGTCTGTGCTTCTTCTTTTGTTCTCTACTCTTCCCTACTCGATCACGCTTAACACTCGTCTAAGTGAACTGTAAGGAAAAAAAAAAAAAAAAAAAACGAGCCAAAGTTTTCTATAATTGGCGTCACCATAGGATGACGTGGCAAACAGACAGTGAACCAACTCACCTCTAGGACTTGTTACTCCTCTACTGCTGTCAAATGTAGACTGGGCCGCACTCGTGGGAATTTGGACGAAGGAAGGCTGGATCCCAGGCCTTAAAGGCTGTAAATAGCACAGAAATTCAGACATCGCATCCATGAAAATTCTTAGTTCGTTTAAAGGGGCTGTATCGTATGTTTAGGAGAAAAGAAAAGGAATGTGGCAAAATCCTTACCTTGGGAGGGGCAGCAGAGTCTTGTATGGCACCTGAAAAGCAAAGCAAAAGACAAAATGTATGGCAAAATTAGTAAATAGCATTTAACCAAAGACATCATAAAGAGAAGTAGATTTCTTGCTTCTCGGAAAATTAATTTGGATCGATCAGAAAAGTCAAATAGTTCTCAGGTAATATTTTCGAGTAGTACAATATGGAATATTCTCAAGAATTCAAAACGTCTAAAAGCGAGTGTGTATACAAACAAAATATAAATCAACTGGCATATTCACACAATGCCATACAGAAAGGCTTGCGCGATAGATCGAATTTCACGTTTAAAATCAAACAGCGTAATTTCAAAACGACTGTCAATAAAAACTATTATTATATGGCTATGTTTCACAAGGACTGGGAACTACCGAATTTACGAATTTGATTAGCTGAAATCGGTATTGAAAGCGGTCTAGATTTTCCCATCTAGACCGCCATCTAGACCGGTAGTGTTTTGCGGTGAAAAAGTTGCAAAAATATTGACTATTTTCTTCCAACAATATTTATTTATCAAAGAACCAAAAAGCCTGACGAGCAAAGAAGTAAAAAGGACGAGCAAACTTTGGCAGAATTATGTTCAGCTCATCGCTATTCGCAAGCACATTAAAAGAATTAAATTGTTCTTGTTTACCATATAATAAACATCTTATTAACCGAGCTTAGTCGGTCTGTAGGGGAGAATCTTGACCTCGGTCCTGTGTACAGACGTCACTGCGTTCGGTCTGTACTCACGACCTCGGTCAAGATTCTCCCATACAGACCTCCTGCTCGGTCAATAAGAGCTAATGACAGTATGATCGAGACAAAGTCAGCACTGGCAGTATTTACTTACCCACGGACAGAGCTTGTATTCTTCGAGTTTCTCTCCTGACTTTTTCATCTTGCTGAAATCTTTCCTCCTGGACGATAACACTGTACACAAAGAATGAAAGAGTTGGGTTATGAAAAATCAAAATACACAACAAAATGTCGATCAACCATTTCTGACTTGAAGGGGAACTGTTCTACACATTTCCCATGATTCTGAGAGGCAAAACACCTGTTCAGAACACGGGAAGTCTTACAATAATTGATAAGAGCAGTTCTCGACAAAAGCCACGAGCTCATCAGGAAGTAAAGGTTGAAGTAGAAAAAGCAAAATCTTTTTGAAACTGTTTTACGTCCTAATAAGCTGCCGTTGAAAAGTAACGTCAAATAATTGTGGCCGCAGATAAATTCCGAAAGTGGCGACCCTCTGAAAGAAGCGAGGGTCTCCCTGTATCTTGTAGATAGATACGGATCAGCAAGGATGAATGAGGGTTTAAATAACATATACAACAACGTACCTGAGTCGAGTCTTGAGATCCTGAAAGGTCGGTCTCTTGGACGGCTCGTAGGACCAGCATTCAAACATGATGTGGTACAGGGCAGGGGGACACTGATGGGGGAGGGGTAGACGTTCACCATTCTCGATCTTGCCAATCACTTCATTGTTCTTGACGCCTTGAAAGGGTTTGATGCCGTACATGAGGATCTCCCACATACACACACCTGAAACATTAAGTCACAGATAAATGAACGTTTCTTCATTTGTCACTTTAGAAACGAGAAAACGTCTGGGGCGTTCTCATCTCGCAGTCGCTTGTGGGATCGTTTCTGGAGACAATGTAACTTCTCGTCTTTCCACGGTCTCACAAACCACTGCGAGATGAGACTTGTCCAGATGTCTTCTCGTATCCAAAGCGGCAACTTGAGCTCGTGTGAATTACTGGTCTTAATTTAATAGCCTTCCATGAACCATGCGACTTGGTCACAGGTAGGATTTGCAGGTTACCTCTGGGTGAGTTGCATGTTATTTTCAAATCCTGTGTGGCTGGAGTCATTTACTTAACTGTATTACAATATGCTATTGCGTGACTCGAGCCACTTTCTTACTAGGATCGCAAGACTCGTGTGAGTTACTTCGACAATTTTCCATCACTTATTTTCATGGCTTTTGAGATGAGTAGTACACAAGCAACAGGGACGACTCTGTAATCAGAATCTTTCTACAGCATTTAACCCTGTTGTGACTTTGGTTTTAAATTTGTCGAGCTCTACCATACTAACTATGGTTCTACTGATCGTTCACGAACGTCATGCAGCTGATTCTAACCAATCAAGTCAAATAAAAGATGTCGTTTCCTTTACCAATCAGGCGCTATTATTTGGCTCACGTGACTTTCCCCACTCTTTCTAACAATTACATCAGTAGGGAAAATTAACACAGTTTAAACTCACCAAACATCCAAATGTCGCTAGCGATTGTAAATCTCCTGAAATTGATGGACTCTGGTGCCATCCACTTGATCGGAAGTTTACCTTTTGAAGCTAAAACACGAAAAGAAGAAACAATAAATCGAGTGCCACTTGTGAATGGAATTGTGTACATGAGTGCAGAGTCACAAAAGGCTTCTCTTCTTGTGGGAATTTGCATTCAATAACAACACAACCCCATATAATAGGAGACTAGACATTACACAATCTTGNAATCAATCAATCAATTGATCGATCGATCGATCGATCGATCAGTCAATCAATCAATATATTTAACGTGGTCGGTACGCTTAGCTAAAAAGCTAGTTTACAGGTACGCCACGAAAAAAACAGTAAAACGAAATTATAAGAGCCTTATGAAGGTATATATATCTCTAACTTGTCAGCTGACTTAACATTTACCTAACTGTATTACAATATGTTACTACGTGACTCGAGCCACTTTCTTACTAGGATTGCACGACCCGTGTGACTTATTTCGACAATTTTATATCACTTATTTTCATGGCTTTTGTGCATAAAAATCAAGTTACATAGGAAGTACACAAGCAACAGGGACGACTCTGTAATGAGGATCTTTCCAAAGCACTTAATCCCGTTGTGACTTTGTTTTTAAATTTGTCGAGCTCTACTGACCGTTCATGAACGTCGCGCAACTGACTCTAACCAATCAGGGTAAAGACAAGATGTCGTTTCCTTAGCCAATCAGGTGCTATTTTTCGCCTCACGTGACTTTCTCCACTCTTTCTTCCAACTACATCAGTAAGAATTAAAACAGTTTAAACTCACCAAACATCCAAATGTCGCTAGCGATTGTAAATCTCCTGAAATTGATAGACTCTGGTGCCATCCACTTGATTGGAAGTTTACCTTTTGAAGCTAAAACACGAAATATAGAAACAATAAAACTGAGTGCCACTTGTGAATAGAATTGCGTACATGAATGCAGTCACAAAAGGCTTCTGGTCTTGTGGGAATTTGCATTCAATAACAACACAACCCCATATAATAGGAGACTAGACATTACACAATCTTGCATTGTCATACCGCGGAATTCTCAGAACTATTGAGAGAAGAAAAGTATACCAGTTGGCAAGGAAAATTACCATTTCAAGATCGTGACAATTCAGAATGTAGTCTCACCTTTGTAGTACGCCTGTTCATCCACCCATCTTGAAAGACCAAAGTCTGCTAACTTGACGCATTTGGGTGTACACACCAATACATTACGAGCTGCGATGTCCCTGTACAGAAAAAGGTCAAACAATACAAAAGATTAGCAAACACGTAAGCTAGAGGGAAAAACGCGTGTCGTATGTTGGCAACGCTATAGGGTGAGGTCAAAAAACAAATGACAATGTAAAACTACATAGCACTACTACACGCTATATCATTCAACGTATGGCTTACCTGTGTACAAAGTTCTTGCTTTCAAGATATGACATGGCAGTGCTAAGTTGAAAAATGTAACTAAGAAGTGTCTCCAAATTTATCGATTGTCTGTTCTTTTGAAGGTACGATCTCATCTAAAAACAACCAGAGAAAATTAGTTATCAGCACGAGTTGTTTAGGATGGTTCCCGCTCGAACAAAGCAAGGCAAACTGTGCAAAAAGCTACTGACATCTTGACAGACAATGGAAAAAGGAGGTGTTCGCAGTCTACCTGCTAGGAGCTGTCATGGCCTCAGGGGTGACACAAGCCAACCCAGCTATTGTTCCTGTAATGTCAGCCTGAAAAAAATCGGATTTTTTCTTTCCGGGACAGCTGCTGTAACACAGGCTACTATAATGTGTTGTCGAGTAAGAGAACACAGTGCTCTCTCCACTTAGGTATAAAGTGGGTAGCAGTGGACTTTTAGGGAAACCAGAATGTCAGAATGCTGGCCAGAGGTTGGAGAAGGGGAGACTGAGTACATAACATCCTATCCAGGGGTGTAGTGATAGTTGATTTCTACTAGTTTTATTGTATCCAAATCACAGTTAAGCTTCATAAAGAACTACAAAAAGTCCCTAAAGCCTAGTGTACACTTTCAGACCACCCATTTTACACATTGTTACACAAGGCAGAACTTTGGAAGGGTTTTCTTTCAGCTTCTTAAGAGAAGTGCACTTACCTCTCCATACGCAGCCAGTTCCATTACAATGTAAAACTCATCGTCCGTACACACACCAATGAGCTTTATAATGTGAGGGTGATCAAACTGTTTCATTGTATCTGAAAAACAAATTACAAGTAAAAATGCACTGCTACAATCGCCACGTAAGCATTCAGACAAATCTGTGCTTTTCTCATAAGACTTCTTAAAATTCCACACTACACAATTTGTGTCTAGTGATTTTACGAAGCTGTAATACTATACAGTCACATTGTACATCTGTAACATAACTGCATTGTGTAAACAAACAAGCTGACTGGCAAGCCAAAGGCTAGTTTTCTTTTGGCTAGCTGTTTTTATAGAAGTGGTTGAACAGGAGCTGAATGCAAGATAAGGCTTAAGTTTTGACTTACCAAAAGAAAATATACAAAACGGGAAACAAGATAAAGAATGTTGTCGTTGAGGTGTTGCTATTGATTCTTCCGGGACATACAATACTTACATGCTTCTTCCAGAAATTTTTCTCTTGACTCTGGGTTTTTACAAGATTTAATGGCCACTTGAAGATTGGGATCATCCTGTTGAAGAACAAAAAAACCTTCATCAAAAGGATAAATTAAACTTATAATGACTATGACTATGAATTATAGTTCTGTAATAAATATGTATTTTGAAGATGGCAAGGAAAAAGGAATGGGAAAATGGCTGGCACTGGAAGTGAAGATGCGATGTCGGTAATCACGAAGTAAAATTGTTGTTCTAAATGTGAGAATGTTAGAGTATAGCAGTGTGATGGGGGGGGGGGGGGGTGGGGGGGGGGGTTTCACCGGCTACTCACCGGACTGATGTAAGTTCCTCTATGAACATCTCCAAATTGTCCTTGTCCAATTATTGTCTCCAGAAGCAATTTGTTTCTTGGAATCTCATAGTCCTTAGCTAAGGAATCAAGCACATTGTCAAACGGTATCCTTATATTTGTCTTTAACTTGAATTTAGCATTTTGAACAGTCACCTTAGCCTTAGTCACAATTTTTTTTACATGTACATCGAAAGCTATCCATGTAATGCAAATTTAGGAAAAAAATTGATCACGCAGACCACCATGTTGTTAACGCCAATAGTTTTTTCCTAGCAACACATTTTATGGCGCGTTTAAAAAAGTTCTTAGGTTACAATAGTTTAAAATTACAGAGCTTTTGATTGCCAGTCTGCAATCTTTATCAACGGTTGCAATCTTTAAACAATTGGAGACTAGCTGGCAATCAATAAATTAAAATTATAGTCTATTTTCACCAGAGAATGTGTCCATTTTTAAGTAAATTTTTGCTTAGTTAACACTCAGCTTTTATAGCTTACTGTAAATACTAAACTTTGGTCTTGCATGCAATTATTGGAGGGTTATTATTAAACTTCAATGATAAGGAACTGTAGATCCAAATTATCTGCCCATTTAAAGGGGCTAGGTCTCGCAATTTTAGGCAATTTCAGCACTGATCAAATGGTCATAGAATTAACTAAATTATCACAAAAANAAAAAATTGGAGGGCTGAAAAAGAGAAACAAAATTTAATATATTAAATAGGCGTTGATTTGATGTTCATTTGAAGTTATTGTAAAAACTAAATTTTAAGTGGTAGTCATCATGTAAACTGTACACTGCAGTTACCTGTTTTTGAGCTCAGTTGGTGGAGAAGGTGGAATTGGGATTGAAGGGAGCGACCTTTCAACATCTGCAAAAGAATGATTAGCCAAGATTATCATCAAAAGTCTCTTCCAACATCAATACAAAGTCAAGCAAACCACGTGATGAGAAAAACAGAAAATCGACAACCCAGGATTGAAATAATCTAATATAAGCTATGTGATCAAATGCTAAGGACAGGGAAGAAAACTGGTCTGATTACCTGCAGCAAGTAAATTTTGTTCTTTGGACAAGAAAAAAATGGAGGCAAACGAAAACTGAAGTTTACTGGCCTGCTGGGCAAGTAAATTTCATTTTTTTTTTCCTGCCCTGTTAATGAGGAAAGCTGTACAGTCAAGAGACTTTGCCCCACCTAGTTTCTTGAAAACCAATGAATGTTTGTTTCCACTGAAGAGCATGCAGTATCCGTCAATCAAATCAGCCATTTCTTCAGCCTTGGCTAATGAAAAAGTTGTGAACACAAGAGGCTGCAAGAAAAAAAAAATGAAACAAAAACACACGTCAGTGAACTGCTGTTTCTTTACATTATGTAAAATTACTGACGAGTGGGCAAAGAAAGTCCTGTCGAATACCCTGGGCAAGGGGATTTTCCAGTTGGGCAAGTGGATGCTGTCCGTCACTTGTCCATAGGGTAAGTGAATTTTTTT